TGGAACTAGTCTAACTATTTAATGCATATGTGAATATTCCGTACATAACTCGAATTAATTAAGTTTGCCAAGTCATTTACATGCACTCGTAGCATTCCCATAATAATATGTTTAAGTATAAAATACAGCTATTTTAATAGTTCCACTAAATTATTTATTTATAATTAGAATATTATTTATTATTTTGCGTACTGAAAAATAGACTTTATTTAATAAATATTGTTATAATAAGAAAATATGTTTACAGAAAATAATTGATAGTTATTTTTTGTGCTTTTATAACCAAAGAAACGTATATTCAAGTATTATAAAACTATTTATATTTCATTGATTTTATATAACTACAATATTCTTTAGTATGTTCAATATAGGCTGAAATAATTTTAATTACGATATTAAAAAAATCATTCCATATTTATAACTAAATTTTTTTAAATATTACTTTTATTTACTGGTTAATCTGGTTAATACGATGTTTCTTAGAAATATTAACAAAGAAAATAAATAAATTGTGTTGTAATCTATTTTATGTATCCTAATCAAATGATTGTATGCTATAAATTAATGTGTATATAGAAATTTAATCGATCAATTTATTTTTATTGATTCTAAATCCGTACTGATTCCATTTCTTAATGTAGACACAAATAGATGAAATAAACATATTTATATTGCTGTTAACACTCCGTTTATCAAGTTAATTTAATTAATTGAGTGTGTCGAATGTTTGATTGTTAAATTGTATCTTAACAATTTGATCTGGATAATTATATTAAAGCGTGTTTTAATGTATTGACAAATGATTGCAAACGAAACATTGAGCGTGTTTTCAAAACCTTGAAGTATAAAAGTTACTCTATAGAAGTGGTTAAACCGATAATTAATGGCGTATCACCTTTGGTCCACTTTTATTCGAACAGCGAGAAGCGGGAACGTTTCCAAATATTTTGAAAGTTGTAGAAAACGGAATTGCTCGATAATTACCGTCGCTATGCTTTTGCTTGTACACATCGAAATCAGTTTAAATTAGCTAATTTTCTCGATAAACGCAAAAGCTAGAAAGATTAAAATAGAATGTGCATTATTGGAAAAACACACATGAACGTAATTTTGCAGCAATAGTAAATTATTATTTATTTACTCACTTAATATTTGATTTCCTTTTCATATAATTATAGTCGAATGTAATTTTATGTTGGTTTATATCAAATGAGAAAACTTTTGACATACGCATAAATATTAACAGTTCCCTTCAATTATTAGCCTTAATCTTAACATAAATATAAAGCGATAATCTACACATCATTATTATCTAATTTAAAGAAATTACTTTTATTTAATTATCAACTATATGTTAATTTATTGTGAATGCAATGCAACATCTAATGGGCTTTCATAAATGCAATTGCTTTTAATAGCAAAGCAATTTAAGGTGGGATTGCTGCATATGTATATTTTATATAGTTGAATGCTATAAAGTAGAAATTTCCAATTTGTTGTTTTGTTTCTGAAAATTGTTTATAACACAAAACACTTTCATTAGAAACACGTGAAAAAATAAGAAGAAGAATATAATTAGAGAGATACTTCGTATAATGCGGCTTCGATCGATCCAGTTTCACTATAGTTCTGTTTGAAAATTTCAAAACAATTATAAGTTCATTTTTTTTATACATAAAGTATTGTTTTTTTTTTCAACAGTAAGCCTATTTTGTGCAATTTATTTTATAGTCTTCGATTTGTCCGGGATATTGGAGGAACCGAATCATAGTGTGTTGCTTGGAATTTGAATAACTTGGATATTTACATTTGCGTCGTAAGTATTTTGATATTATTAAAATTTATCTTATCTGCTTTTTACATAAATTTAATTAAGTTTCTCTTCCAGGTTCATAAGAATTATTTCTTCGAATGTTACTCATTGATTATTATTTTTCTTTACATGCTTTATTTTGATATAAGTAAATTCTGGGGTTGAAAGACATCAACAAGGTAAGTATAATTGAGATGCAATAATCCTTTAGTCCCTAAACTTTTGGAAATTGAAAGAAATAGAAAATAATTTTTATTGCTTTGAGAAAAAACATTATTAATATGGAAAAATGGTTGTAAAGTAAAATACACGTAATATACGGTTAGGAAAATGAAGACAAATAGTAATAAGTCAATATCAGATTCTAGAAAATACACATAAGACTGCAGAAATAGTAAAATTTAATGTAAATATCAATTAAGTATGTAAATATATATTTTAATATGTTGTGTTTATCTTGAACAAAGATGTAAGTGTTGGCTAATGAACATTACTGTATGATTATTTCAAATAAAGTAAATTATTATGGGATTACGAGAAGCAACTCATATAAACTTCATATAATATTTACACTCATTAAATTGTTAAAGTAAATAATAGAATAAAACTTTTGCTATGGATATCTTTTTGGTTCATAATTTTTAATTTATGTAATCACAAATACAAATGTTCAAATCACAGAAATCGCGATTTGAACATTTGTAATTATTACATTTTTCCTATTAATATATTAAATTTAATGATACACATGTTATTTAGAAAAATATGTACGGTGGAACCTCGCTTAATGAGTACCTCGCATAACGAACATTTTGGTTAACGAGCAAAATAAATTGTAAGAAAAATTACTCCAAAATGGAACGCATTATCGTAGATTACATTAGTTTATATAGGGAAAATTGTTTCACTATACGAGTAAAAATCCGGAAATTTTGGAACAAATTGTGCTCGTTAAGCGAGGTTTCATTGTAATTATATTGTTGATATATACTCAGATTTATAATACAGTGGAACCTTGGTTTGCGAACATAATCGTTCGTTCCAAAAACTTGTTTCTAATCCAAAATACTCGTATATCAAAGCGAGCATGTGTATAGAAAATACCCGTCTTGCAAAATACTTACAAATCAAGTTATTCAAAATTCAAGGTACTGTTGTATCAGATAGATGTTAATAATATATTCTTTCTCTACTTACGTTTAAACTATTCAGTATTGAGTCGTTGTAGAGCAGAGTTTTTCCACTTAATAGTGACTACCATAAAAACGTGTTTTAAGTAAGGCTTCTGATATTGTAATATGAGTGAATCATACGATATGTGGGAGATATACATTTATTTGTAATTGTTTACTCTTTAAGTGCAGAGTGGTAGTCACTTCTGTCTTTTGTTGTTTCTTGTCTAGACGTGCCTTATGGTATTTCTGTTTGTTTATACTGCTACTTTATATCATTCTTTATTTATGACTTTTTAATGAAGTATTTGAAAACAAAACACTAAAATGTGTTCTAATTATAAACTGGGATACGCTCGAGCGATTCATCTTAATATGTTTCTTATTTGTTAATTATAAATTTATTATAATTTACTAATATTTATAATGCATGGAACTTTGATCAGATCAGAATACTTTACATTCGAGTATAATAGTTAGATTCATTAAAAATTAAAAATTAAAAAAAAAAATTGATAAATATCCAGCAATGTTTTAAATCTAACTGATCGAAGAATTTAAAACCACATAAAAATAAACACCACAAAAGGGATTTTATTGAATATAAGAAATACAATAACAATCATTTTTGTATAATCATTTGATGTACTACTTTTTTTAGAATGTTTCTTTATTTTGTTCAATTATAATTTAGTTTGTTTTGAAAATGTCATTGCTGTATTTCAATATATGTTGATAGACATAAAAAATAACAGTACTTCTATTTTGGGTTAAAAATATGTCAATCAAATAGTATAATATGAAGCAAAAATAAGCTAAGTTTAATGTGTTTGTATAAAACTTTGTTATTTCACTAAATAAATAATAATATTATATAAAATTAGATTATATATTTATAGTAATATTTCTAAGAGAAATATAATTTGAAAACTAAATAATGAATCAGAATGTTTCTTATATTTAATTCGTGTTCATTAGTTTCTTTCGTAGATAACTATGCATCATTGTTGGTTTACTTTATGGAGGAAAGTATGTGTCCTACATATATATTAATTGACTATTACCATTGTTCTTTTGTTCTGATTTGACCTATGGAAATTACTATTTGCACCTTGCATCAATTAAATCTCACTATTGATACAAGGATGTAGTAGTATCGATACTTACTGAAATATTAATAAAATGTTTAGAAGTAAACACATAACGAGGATTTTCCGGATTTTTTTCTCGTATAGTGAAACATATTCAAAAATACTCTCGTATAGCTCGTTAAGCGAGTCATTTTTCTTACAATTCATTTTGATCGTTAAGCGATATGCTCGTTATGCGAGGTGCTCGTTAAGCGAGGTTCCACTGTATAGCTAAATATTAATAAAACGACAAGTGTTATTATTTTACATGTTAATAATTTATATTAATTATTAATGGGTAGATAAACGTCTAACATGTAGTAAGTGTATAGTATTCATTTGTTTAAAAATATGAACAACTTAGATCTGATCTGACTATAGAATAATTATAATTTAATTTATCATGATTTTTGTAAATTAGACTTTGAATTTATCAAAATAATGGGAAGCTTTTGTTAAGATGCAATTTAAAATATGTATTGATTTAAGAGAGAAAAGTAAAAATGGTTGTAGCATAAAATTATCGTATACAAGTATTTAAATTTTTCAATTTATTTCTTTAATTGAAAGTTCCAGTTAGTTAATTTAAATAAGTGCATGTTTAAAAATAGTAATGATTGTACATCCGCTCGAAGAAGGTATTGCAGTATATCGAGATCGAGATTTCTTAATACGAGAGAGTGTGTTCTTTATCAAAGCAAGAATCGAATAAAATGATTCGTACTTGATCTTGTGGATTATGCGGCGGAACGAGGAGACGACGAACCAAATAATAATAAAAAAAAAAAAGGTTCGAACTTAAAGAGTGCTGATTGCTGAACGTCTTTGGTCTCTTGCCCTATTCCTCTATCCTCCAACAGCATGCTCGTGCTTGTGCTTTGGCATCGCACGAACCGAAACAGTCTATGTGGGGACGCCCGTGGGTTCAGAGTATCGCGGAGTTGTACGAGAGCGCGAGAATCGAGTTTCTCCACACCGCATTATGATTTAAAATCGAACTGAGCAACAATCATACAATATTATAGAACAAAAAAACAACAACAACAAAATGTGGAAGCTGCTGGCAGTCCTTGTTTTAGTAATTGGGGTGGTTTTGGCCCAAAGGCGCAACTATTCCCACATGCCGTGTCCACACAAATGCGTCTGCTTCCGAAGAACCATTCGATGCATGCAAGCAGACCTCGTCGAGGTACCCAAAGTACCTTTGGCAGCTACATTTCTGTAAGTAAAGCCGCATCCATAAAAAAAATAAGTGCTAATTATTGGCCGTGGTAATAACAGGCATCTCGCTGCGGTTTTATTGAAACTCTTTCACCGTAGTTAATTACACACCTTTAATGCGATTAATAACATTTTTGTAGCTTTAAATCCCGCTGCCTCATCAATAAATTAACTCGTGTTTTTCCACGTTCAGACCTAACTCGATTAAGAGCTTTAATTATTTAAATGAATTCCGGCTATCTTTAATACCCGTACAATAATTGATTAAGGCTATTAATCACATTGTGCGAGAACAATTTATTGGGAAAACTCTCGATGCATGATTACTTGCAGCCAGTTAAAACGAACAAATCAACTCTTCAATATTTATCACTGTGATAACATTCGTATGGACGTTAGACCAGTGTCAGAGTAATTAATGCCCTTGTACAATCTCCAAACTGTAACGCAGATAATTATTTGCCGCAAAATAACTCATCAATTTTTTTTGTAATAAAAAACTTGAATCCACATATAAATGAATTGCCTGTAATCATTGCAACAGCCTGGACTTAAAAATAAGTAAACTCCGTCCGTTACCACTGCATGTCTAATTAACTGTAATTATAAGCGGCGGCGTTTCATAGTATTAGTAACCTTGGTTGAATTACTTAACGCGATTTTATTGGGATCCAATATGTGACGGTTTCCAGTTTCGTAAATGCTCTTTCCACAGCGTGTTTCTCTACTTGAATGGAGCATTTACACGAGCACACGCACACGCATAAATCGATGGCAGATAAGTTAATGCAACGCAAATCGATTAATTAGTGTCAATTATTCTCCGTGGACTTATTTCTGGTCGGAGCGCCTGGAAATGCTGAAATTTATATTTAGATTAATGGTCAATTTCATTAATCATTAGGACACCGCTCGGTCAATTAATTTCCTGCTTCTGCAACAAACAATAAACCGCTCGCTAACGTCTCACAGGGAATCACGAATGTACAGGCAATGATTCATGCCAATAGAAAATAGCCAAAACGGAAATCATCATTGTTTTCGACGACAAAATGATGCTGATCAATTGCAATTTAATTTTAATCATTTATATAAGACGTAAATAACAATACAATATATAGTCCTAAAACAGTATTATTTATAATCTGCAATTACCAATATTTTCAATATAACTTATAAATTTTATAGTTGCATTTAATAACAATTCCTTTAGTTATATAATTCTAATATACAAAGTTGTTAATCAACTCGTAAATGTGGTTCCAATGGTTTCAAATATCGTTCCTTATGTTAAACTGTTGTTAAGTAGATTTATATCTAAAACATTTATGTAGTATTTAAAGCTATCCTATTACCATCTAATTTTTTTTTCGTTAACTTCCTTCATGTTGGATGTTTTCATTCTGAATATTTCTTTTTTTTATTTGACCTGAATTAAATAATTATTAGTTTCGATATTTGCAAATACAGAACTTCTTAAACTTGATGTTATCAATCGATTAAATCTGGACTTTATAAGTCCATTATTTAACATATAACTTTATTATATAATGGTGTTAATGTTCTTACAATATATAATAATTTGCTAAGTGTAAAAATAAATGTTAAATAATTTAATATTTTTGGAAATTATAATGAACTATACAATTCATTTAATTGTTCTTTTGTTTAACGTAATATACTATTTTTAAATTAAATAAATAATTTTTTTATTTTAATTTACCTTTTGATTTGAATGTGTTTTAGTTATCCATTTTATTTGTTTACGTTACTAAAGTTTGAAATTGTTAATGGTTTTGCTTTGAACGAAAGCCGACCGAGTGAATTTGAATAAATAAAATGCGTATACATTTGATATTTTATTTTGAATATAAGAATATTTGAATTTAAGTCGACGATAAAGTATTGACAAAATTTACATTATGGTTTAGTCTACAAGGTATAAGATTACTTAAATATTTTATATTCATACCAAAGAGTAGTTTTATAGAATTTAAATTTCAAATACAAGAAAAACTGGTAGATGAAATATTCGCATATGGTAAACATATTATATAATAAATTACTTGCACTTGCATTATTTTTTTTCAACAAAAATAATGTTAATGTTTTTTTTTTTTCAATTATTCTTATTATAAGAAATTACAAATTAAAATTAATAATAGAAACTATACTATAATTTAAATTATTAGTTAATGCAATAATTGTTATCATTAAAAAAAATAACGAGTAGGTAATACAGTGGAACCTCGCTTAACGAGCATAATTCGTTCCGGATTTTTACTTGTATAGTGAAACAATTTTCCCCATATAAACTAATGTAATATACGACAATTTGTTCCATTTTAGAGTCTTTTTTTACAATTTTTACTCGTTAAGCGAAATGTTTGTTATGCGAGGATCCGCTGTAATTTAATTGTCATATAAATATTCACTTCTTTTTAATATATTCTTCAGTATATTTATAATTGAAACAGTTAAAAGTTAATGTGTCTCTCGATTGCTTTATAATTATTTTTCTTTGAATTTTCTATACTATTTAGGCAATGTTCACGATCGAATTTTCAATAACAATAGTACATTAAGTTTTACTTTATTTTACGTAACTCGAGTTTCCACTTACCGGACACTACAATGTGTATTGTTATTTTGGTACACCAGTTTTTGTTATATTACTGTTTATTTCGAGAATGATAAAGTTATGTAAATAACACATCATATGTATGGATAAATGCAGGAAGTTATTATGAAATTGTAGAAAAAATTAATGCATTCTAAGTCCTCGAAGTGTTAATTTGCTTATTTTAACGATAATTAAACTAAATGAACGCGCATTAAGTTTTACGTAAGATTTACTGAAACGCACATAAACTAATTATAGAAAGATTTAGTGCGCGGCCCAGACGCCATTCAATGTCTTAATCATTACTGATCTCAAAGCCGAATTCGATTTAATATCAAAGTAATTCGTTTTGTACAAAGCCCAAAAGATTAATGCATTAGCGTAAAAATATAAACATACACACAGAAAAAAATATAAATTGCTTGCTTTTCCTGCTTAAATTATTAAGGCAGGGCTGTAATCTGAAATAGCACACGCCCAAAATAGCGCCTCGACTTCTGTTTGGCATTCCGCTATTGGAAACTCTTAATTATTCAATTTTACAGCAGCACTTCGACCCCGAAACATTAACATTAGGTAACAAGAAAATCTCACAGTCTCTCTTTATCTTCCTCTCGCAATACACGCTCACTTAAATAATTTAAATGCTTGTGACCTAACCCATAATATATAATATAAACATTTAATATTGAAACATCTTAGAAATTTTAATTTCTATAATCATATATTACGTTATAACCATTATTATTAGTATAATTGGAATGCTTCTATATTTTTATATATAAGAGATGTTATGAACACAAATTTCTCATTGAAAATGTGAGTAAGATAGATAAGTTCTCTTTGGATTATTTTTAAGGTAAGTTTAATCAATAACGTGGGAAATAGTGAATTATTATGGTTTCAACAAACGATTTACACCGAGACATTAACAATTTCCAAAACGGTTTGATGAATTATGGAGGAAGGAATTCTTTATATGAATTAAACAACACATCTCTGGTGCCTGTCTACTAAAGAGAATAATAACTACAATATTAATTATTCATCGTTGCGATTAATTTTGGAGTCACATATTGAGAGTTTTACCAAAGCTTTAATGACTTGAAGTCATGTACTTTTTTTTTTATTGCGAAGCACGTTTTTTTTTTAAATCACCATTATTGTAATAAGATGCACGACTCTTGCGAACAAGACAGCATCATTAGATCCTGTTCTCGATTGCAGTAATTGCGATCCTCTAGGACAAAAGCAATCTTCGATGGATTTCCAATACACAAATTAGAATGGAAACATCTTGATATTCGCCCGTCGCGTGAATTCCTCGCTAGCACTCGTCCCATTTATTTTCCTCCTGAATGTGTTGTTCCTCCAAGAATTTCCATGTAATAAACCGTTATGAGCAGTTTGTCATCTTTCAAATGGAACGATGAGGGAATTCTCGACTCTCTTCTCTCTGCACGTTCTCTTCCTCGTCGTCTGCGACTCGCTAAAATAAAATCCCATTGAAGTTTCTCATATTGAACTGAGTTTGTACAGAGAGAAATGTTATGAATTTCTCGCAGCTGCTACTGATTTAACGCAAATTTTCTCGCAGCAACGCGCCGTCGATAAGAAATCTACGTATTATTAAGGTTACTTATAACGAATACTACGAATCTGAAATGGAGGAGAAAAATTGAGCAAGTAATTTGATACTCTAACCATTTTTTGTTGCTTATTCTTCTCAGAAGTTCATAAGGCACTTGAAGTTTCCGTTTATCATCAGAAAAAAATGTTTAGCGATCTGTGATATCAGCGTTGAAAGAAATATCATTAATTTTTAATAGATAAATGGGGTGTTGAAACACTTTGTTTGACACTAATGAAATACATTTTCCATACAACTTTTTACGCAATCTTGAGTTTCATGTCAAGACTACATATGTTAATAATTTGTATAAAAAAAAATGAAAAAAAACATATTAATGTATTTGTATATTGTATACATTTGGTGTAAAATTAAAATTCTAAAATTAGAATAAAAGTTAATTAATTGTGATTTTTTTCTTTATTAATTAAAAAATGTCTATAATGAGTTAATGCATTTAACAGGAATACTTGGATAAATCTGGATAATTTTCACGAAAATATACATTTTTAATTTTATTTAAGCAACTTTTTAAATCTTTGTTTGCTAAAATTTTCATTGCAATATTTTTCGTAAGGAGCTTCTTCAATTTTATTTTCTTTGCCTTCAATGATAACATGGATTTATATATTGTCAACTCCCATAATCATCTGAGTTAAAAAACCTCTAATATTTTCATTATGGACATTTTTGATCCCAATTAGATATATTAATATCTTTCAAATGTAAGTGTATGTAACTATTTCA